AATCAGACACAAAACAAGGAGAGCTCCAGTTCTTTTGCATGAGCACTAACGATAGTAAAACAGAGCAGGAAAGCTAACCTAAGTATCCCGGAGGATAGCCAATCTCTCGCATTCTGTTAAGCCATGGAGGAGGATCGAGTTCCTTCACAAGAGGAAAGGAAATAATTAGAATCCAACATAGAGGTAGTACCCTACCATAAACAGAAAACCAAAAGTTTCAAAACAGTTACCCCAAGATTCAGAAGCTGACGTGTCTCTGCATCAAGTGTGCCTGGTTTCAAGCCATCGTACTTTCCACTTTGAGTTTTTTGATAATATCGCGATGGTAGACGCGATCCACTGTTTAGATTTCGTTTGGATTTCTGAAGCTTCCGGGCACTATTAACTGCTGATCGATCAAAAGGCTTTAGACATTCTCTCAAGGAGTGACTATAGCCGCCACAATTGAAGCAACGTGGAGGATTATAATCAATAATCTCCACTCCCCTGGAACAATAACGAGACATGAAATGTTACAAGAACGCGCACCCCACGAAAGACCTTTAACACACTTACTGTTATAGGTTATGCTACAATATAATGTCAACAAAGCATAATAAAGGATGCATCACTATCTGTGGAAAATAAAACCAGAAAGACAAGAACTCTATTACAAATCTAGATTCGATTTACCCTTGCAAGCTATTTGATCCATTTGCTGAATTCGAACCAAGTGCAAATTTACGGTCATAAAGAGGGGTGGTGCTACTTTCCACTAAAACAAACTCTTCCAATGGCTTAGGACCAGTTTGGTTGTCGATCCAGAATGACTGCACATTCAAGAACCCATAAGTTGACATGTCATCAAAGATTACCAACTCAACTAATCACACAATATCCTCATTTTTTTTATCTATTGATATGAACACTTAAAACAACTTTTAATAGCGTTTTAACAGCATTAACACTCACCACAGACGAAGTCTTCTGCAATCCAACACGTAAGGCAGAGAAATACGTCTCCTCGCCAGATTCTAATGGCTGTTCTTGCTCCTGAGCATATAACCAATAAAAGATTCTACCTTAAAGTTTCATACATAAGGCAACAAAAACTAACTCAAATAAAAACCAAGTCAATAAACAACTGAACTATTACCCCAAGTCTGATAAGCTATCAAGGACTATCATAATCATGAAAAATCTCAATGCTAGCATTCGCTTTTATATTGGCTACAAATAACATTTTAGAAGACAGTAAAATGACCTTCTCCATTCCGAGATACCTGAGCCTGTGAAGTATATTCTGCATCCCATTCTGACCATTGCTGTAATAAACTTTCCAGCTTCTGCTTACTAGCTCTGAAAGATACAATCCATTGAGAATGGTAAAGCAGGGAATCACGTAATAACAGCGAGGCTTGTCAATTACAATTTTTAAAGTTCACAAGGAAGCATCACTTCACTGCAACTTGAAAGAAAAAGCAGTTGAGTAATGAATCAAACCTCGTTAAGTGCTTAAAATAAACATGGACTGTAGGTTGCTGTTGGTGGAGTCTTTTAACACCCAAATCAGCTGTCACAAGGAGTTATGGAAAAACAGAAGAAGATAAAATAATCCCAGATGAAATAATGATAGAAACAGATCAAGTACAAGCAACCTTCCAGCATAGAAGAGCAAAAGAAGGATACAACTAACATCCAAAGTGGCGCTGTGAATCAGCGTTTCCTTTTGGACGCACACTTTCTCATCTACTGCCACAACATGACTTACCTGCTCTGATGATATTTCGCCACCCACAGTTCTAAAACTCTCTTCCACTCGATCTAAATCTCTTTCCATGTTCTCCTGATTACCGACTAAAAGATTAGCTTCAGGTGACCTAATCCCAGATTCAAGGCCATTGGTCTGTAATTCCAAACAAGAACTGCCTGAAGCTGGTAGGTCAAGCGCATCCTCAGCTTCCATCTATAAACAAAAGACGTAAGCTTTATATCATTACGAAACAATATAACTCACCGCCCACATAAAAAAAAACCTGTTATAAGAAACGACAGTATCAGCAACATTAAATAGACTACAAAGTACATTAATACAAGACAAAAAGAAGCATATACAAGATTTCGATCCTTTAAGTAAAGAATCAACAAACTAAATGCCACAAGTAATAACTACACCTTCATCCTTGCAGATACAAAACCCTAGAGAAATTGCCAAACCTTAAAGCCATTATTAACTCAGATTAGGGTTCAAAATTTCACCCAAAAAAAAAAATAGTGAACAGCGATTGAATCTACGCTCGAAACATAAGATTAAAGTAAATAATTTTTTGAAAAGAGGAAGATGAAACGACGCGAAAGGTTTCTGAAACAGTAAATCTAATACATCTCCTCTGCTGATGTTCGAGAGTTTATGGTAAGAAAGAAACGAGAAAACGAAAGACTTCGAAAATTTTGGTCGAGGCTTCTACTTACCTACTCACCGCGAGTTTACAGAAGCAGGAGAGGAGAGGAGAGAAGAAAGCAGCAAAAATGGCGATATGTAGATCTGTCAGATTCAAAAGGAAGGAGAAGGAAGGCTATACTTTTATCCGCCTAAGATTAAGAGTCAAGGATCATATGCGACGCAGCGCAGCTACTTATTATGAACACCTGTAGTCAATCGAATCAAAAGCTCAGATGCTCCTGTCCAGAAAAAAAAAAATCTGAGATACTCCTACCCGAAACAGCCCGGATTTGGAATTTAATATATTTTTATTTAAATTCAAAAATTTATCAAAAAACCACGGACCCAACAGAACTTACATAATTACAAATCAATCAGGGCCATTTCACGGACCATCCAGACCCGATCTATAAAATTCAGATCTATTTCTTCATAACTTCCGAAACCTTTGTAAGACTTAGTGTAATCGTAAACTTTGGTGTAACTGTGTAGCGTAATAAAACATGAACAAATAAATACTGTCTCAGTTACAAAGTTATGCTAAATTGAACTAAATCGCACATTTAGGAGTACTCCACATTTAGATTGCAATTTATTATTACGTTATTGTTCAGCCACATGTGTTGTTATTGATATATTTATTGAAGTTCAAATAAAAAAGATTAGTTTATAGATATAACTAGAATAATTACATAATGTTTATAGATAAAAGTAGAAAAATAACAGAGCATAACGTGATGAGTAATTTACATAACAACTTAGTAAAAGTAGATAAAACTTCTATGTCATAAATGCACAATTAATCTTCAATTGGCCATGATTGAACATTCAATTGTATTTGGTCGTAGAAGTCCCAAGCTTCACAATTCCAGAAACAAGGATCGCTTTTCCACTTTAATCTTGATCCATTTTTGGAGACTTCAAACTCTGGAGGGTCTATGTGGGAGCACCAGCAATCAAATGGCACATTAGGATCTATCTTTTCAGCTACAGATAGAAACACGACAGGTCTTACGTAATCCTGATAGCCTAAGAGTTGCCAACTAAAGATGGTTTGAAACATCTTATCAACATGTTGACGAGTAAAGGCAGCGTAGTTGTGAACAATTCCCCTACGATCAACGCTAAAGGCTAAGTTCAGCATTCCATCTACAAACTGGGCCATCTCGCATCCTCTCTCACCAGCAAGATGGAATTTTTCCTTTCCTTCATCACGAAAATGGAGGATGAAGAACTCATACATTCCTCTCAAGTATATGGCCTCTGGATTACCCAAATGGTAGCATTTAAGCCTGAATGTTCGAACAGCCCTGGCCTCGTCTACCCAATCATTCAGGTAAATGAGATTGGCCGATCTGTAGAAGTAATCATCTCTTCCAACTTCGTTGAACCCGCGAAAAGCAATCCTTGCAGAACCAGAATCCCGGAGATTCATCGTTGCTACCTTAGAGAGAATCTTATGAAGCATTGAAGGAGGGAGAGAATCCAATTTCAAGTTCTCCATGTCTAACTCTGATAAAAGAAATATGTTATTGTGTGAGAGAGATGAGGGAAATTGTAGAGATTCGAAATTGCATGTAATTGTAGAAGTGATAAACCCTTGAAATTTAATGACCGCTCACCCAAATTCAAAAAGAAGCGTGTCTATTTAAAGGTGATTTAATGGACTCCTCCAGACTTCTGTCACACGTCTTTTGACTATCAACAGTCGCATTTCTTGGAATTGAAACTTTGTAAAACTATAATTTATTAAGATATCTTAGTATACATACGTAAGTGAAACTAAGTGATTTCAATTGTCTAAATTTCTGAAACTACAAAAAACTTCAGAATTTAGATATATTTTTAGTTATATTTTGCAAGAAATGATCAGTGTCCAAAACTGATTATACTTAGTGGATATATTTAATGACGAATCCTGGCAGTATATGACATAATAAATGAAAATGTTAAATATTATTTTAAATAAATATTGTAATTTAATGAAGTTGAGCAGTGGCGTTTCCATTTAAGATTGATTTGATGAGTATTATTACTTGATTGACTCGAGACTCCCCCGAGATTAAACCATTTCTCTCCCCGAGAAAGCATAAGTACTCCAACTTATCTCACACGCTTTTTGACTGCAACAGTCGCCTCTCCTGAATTTTAAGATATAAATAAATATGTAAAAGTAAATAAAACTCGAGGAGATCACGGGCTAAATTTATGAAACTAAGAAAAACGTAACAATTTAGATTGTATGAAAATTTGAAACTATACAAAACTTAACGAAATTTGATATTATATCGTTTTACTTTTCAAAAGATGGTCAGTTTCCAAAATAGATAATAGTTAGTGAATATATTTAGAGTTCATATATTTAATGATAACAACTAGCAGTGTAGGAGATAATAAATGAAAAGGATAATATTAATTTTGAGAAAAAACCTCGTCGAAAGAACACGACTTCTCTTGTGAAAAAGTCTCTTTTAATAATCATTACACTTCCGAGTATCATTTATACGCCACATCTCTTGCATTTATAAGAATTCTGCATCTCCTCTCTCATCTCTTCTCTCATCTCTCAACAAAGAAGATGGCAGAGTACAATAAGCTTTCCGAGGTTACTTATAACCCCAAGATTAGGTCTTGGCGTTTCAGAGTCCAACTACACAGGATCTACCATTACGCGATTACCAACCATGGGCCTTACTATAACTATATCCTCGCAGATGAAGATGTAAATGTTATATCATCATCTCTCAAGTGTGTAATAAACATGTAACCGTGAGAAATAAAAACTGATCCTTGTAACATGTAATAAACATGATCTTTGTACTTTATTTATGTAGGGATACAAGATGGAGATGACCACTGATGGGGATTATCCAAATTTTAGATGCCTTGAGAAGGAAAAGGGAAGATGGGTGGAAATCTTTGTGGTAGAAGTTGAACGGACTTACCCGTGTTTCCAGCCAACTAGCTCTCCATTCATACTAAATGCTTCGCGCTGTACGCAAGTCCGCATCATCGAACCTCTGAACAGTCTTCTTTTCTTGGACTTCAAAAGCATCCATTAAATCCCTCGCATGCACTGGCGTGACCTCAGATATCCCATAGGTATGCTGGTAATCTCAACAGTCGCATATCTTGGTTTCAGAACTTTGTATAACTCTGTAGATGTAAGTGAAACTAAGTGAGACTAAGTAAAACAAACTGATTTAGTTGGGTAACACTTATATGGTAGATACAATGGGAGTGGTCTTCAACACGGAAGCCCATCTCGATGCCCTTTAAGGACCAAGGATGGAGTTTTACATAAGGGACAACATGTGAGTATAAAGTAACATATGATCCAAGCAAAATTTATATATATATATATATATATATATATATATTGTAACTGACGCACTTTTTCTTTATTCTGAATAGTGACCATCAGATAAAATGTGTGGTGACCGGCGATCTGGCCTATGCCTTCCGGGATGGTCTTGATTACATGAGTGGTGGGGGTCGTAGACAGGTGATTGTGGCCCTTAAGATTTGGAGAGTCTGGAAATTTATGTGTAAGTGTTGTTTCTGTGACTAGTTTTAAATGTGATAGTTGAGTAGAACTTTTACTAAAATTACTTATACAATTTATTTTGGTCCTCCTGAAATATGGCTTGAGAACGAAGGTGGATTTGCGGACTTCAGGTTCAATCCGCATTTGCTCGAGGTTGAGGAATTCATGCAGTCTCTACTAAACAACGACCCTTATGTTCAGAAATATGGGGTTGAAGGTCTCGTGTAAATGTTTAATGTCGGATTCAACTTTGTTTAAATGTCGATAAAACTATGTGTTAATGTTGGTGAAACTATCTCTATTGTTCTATTTTCGATCTCTATATTTTCCAACTTTATAGTTTCACTTAATCAATTGTTCAACTTTCTAAACTTAAGACAAAGTTGAATTTCGTTGGTGTTACATTGTTGTCTAACTTAGAAAAAATATAACAATAACTGAAAAGTATTCCATAAATTACTTATTGTACATCATAATTCCTAGAACTAAAACGACTGTAAGAAGAACACAACCTCCAGATATCTTGGAACTCATCATCGGACCTTCACTCCTTATTGTTGCTTTGAGAAGTTTAACTTCTTCTTCGAGCATTCGAACTTGGCAATCCAACTGTTGTATCTCATCGGTGAAAGCTTCATCAACCCATTTGAAAACGTGATTTTCATTCTCAAGCTACGACATGGATATTTTCAAAACAGGTAAGCATAATTCGTAAGCTTTCGAGAGTAAGTAAAAGGTAAACAGATAATACCCTTAGTGAAGCCGCATAGAGACACCGATAATACCGGCGAAACGGGTTTGGTTTGCTTTTCGAGATGAGCTCAGTGATGCCCACCCCGCACCAGCACTTAATAGGTATTCCCGGAGTTCGTACTTGTGTCCGACCACCGGTCGTGGAAGATGAAGCAGTGGACATCTCGATTTCTCTGTGAGTTCGAGGAGAGGAGAGAGAGAGAGAGAGAGAGAGAGAGAGAATGATTTGAGAGAGAGAAAATGGAAGATAACAAATGGGAGAAAACCCAAAAAAATGTCTTTATACTTCGATTAAATGATCTTGGGGTTTTAGCAAATTGGGAAGAGAGAAATTCGAAAAGCTGTGTGGGAAAATTTATCACAGCGATTTTCGTAGTAAGTTTCACCAAGTTTTCAGTTTTACGAAAAACATCAAAGTTGCACTTTTTAATTATTTGCATTTATCTTGGTTATACTCTACTTGAATCACTGATTTTTGGTTACACAAATTAAATTATGTTTCCGAGATTCATTTCTCAGACGATCATATACACATAAACTTGATTTCGTGCCATACGAAGTTTTCAAATCTAACGAGGTCAGTTTTTGCCAAAAGGCTACGATAATACAGTGTATTTCCTATATGACCAAGCAATTAGATGTAATTTTAATATTTCTGATCACATCATAATTAACGTAATATTAATAATAAATAACCATATCATTACTTCAATGACTTATTAAATTAAGAAGTTGAGAGTTTACAATCATATTACTCAGTTTTTCCATCGTAGTTATACCAGTAACGAAAACAACAAGTTTCACTTAGTTATACAATACACAAATACAAATTATTACCTATATGGCCAAACAATAAGATTGAATTTTAATAATTCAGATTAACCATAATTAACATAACATTAACAATAAATAACCATCTTAGTACTTCAGTGACTTATTACTCAGTTTTTCCATTGTAGTTATACCAGTAAAGAAACCAAGTTTCACTTAGTTAAACAACACACAAATACAAATTGATTCCCTCACAACGTTCCCATAAGATAAAAAACACCAAATCGAAACTGCAACCGAAAGGCTTACAACCTACTCTTCTTCTGTTTCTTGTGGGGATGTTCACGTGTTCCAAACCAGTGCCCACATTCTCTTCTTCTCCATATCCACTCCCACGCTCACAATATTTCCTACTACAAGAGCTCTCTACGACTCTTGATAGTTGCTCGGTTATATGAACTATTTGCAATTCTTCGATGTCCTCCACATGCAAAATACTTCTTCTTTGCTCTCTATCCACTGATTTTAGATAAACAAACATATCTTCATCATCCAAAATATATGATTTCCTCTTAGGTTCCACCACCAATTGGATGTAACCCAAACTGAGCCTCTTCATAAACGGATATATTCTCATCTTCCTGCATATCTTCTCTTTCAACAACGAATAAGTGATCTCCTCTAACGATGATGTCTTAAAAGATATAGCATACAAACGATCATCGGTTGGAGAGGCTCGATGAATATCGATTAATTTAGAATAATTTGGAAAGAGATACTCGAGAATTATTCATTAAAGAATTCATTAAATCGGTCATGGGCATTTTTGACATTAACCACCACTCTTGAGAATATCAGAATAAATAAGAGTACTCCAGATTTTGTGAGAGTATGTTAGATCACTTTTTGCCTGATTAAGAGCATCTGAAATTTTTTCTCTAGTCAATCTACCCAAACGGTGATTCTTGATTATGGAAACTAATTTTTTTTTTTGTTGAATAATGAATTGAGTTTTTCTTTTGTTGATTAATTAATTAAGTTTTGAATGTCGTAACTAGATCTTGATGTTTTCATTTATATTTATATAAAGATTTTTTAGTTCAAGATGGTATATTTTTTATAATCACATATATAATGTGTATTTGACTTTTTCAAACATAATAATATTACAATTTACTTGTTTTTCATCAAATAATTGTTTCACACTTATTTTTATCTTCATCTATATATTTTGTTCGTTGGATTAGTATGTATTCTATTAATCTTGTAAAAATATGTAAAGTTTGGTAAAATAGAAGAGTATTTTCATCTTAAAAGATCTTGTAACACTTTCATAAATAATTAAATAAAAATTTTGATAAAATTTTAAATTTATTGATCATGTTGGGGAAAAAATGTATGTATAAAAGAATGAGGTTTATGGTATTACTACTAAACTTTCAAAAATTTAAAGATGGACCTGAAACCATCTCTTCATTAGTCCATGCAGCCTTGGCTTCAAAGAAACCATATTTCCATTAGTCCATGCCTTTAGCTTCAAATAGTACTTCGTAGAAGAAATCATGTTCTTCTATGTCTTTTGTATTAAACGATCAAGCTGATCCACAGTCTTCCCAGCCCCATTATGTCGTCGACCATTTCGCTCCCGCCATATGAAGTAGATCGTAGTCTGAAGTACAAGTCTTAAAAGAATATAGGTGAGGTGATCATACCCGCCTACTAGCATTGTTTGTATCGTGGTTTCCTAGTCTAGATCAAGAGCTGAGCCAAAAAGATTTCCAGCCACAGTGTGAATATATAGGGACAAGCGAAAAGCAGGTGGTCCCTTGTCTCATCCAACTCTCCACAGTAGACACAAACCTGTACATGGCCCCATTGTCGAGTGCAGTGACCTACTGCAAGCCTATCCTTTATAATTAATTAAGTAATGAAACCATAACGAGGCACACCTTGAAGAAACCAAATAAGCTTGCTCCACCTAACTTCTTCATTACCCCCCCCCCCTAAAAGCAAAATGCCAAGTAGCAGATAATATAAAAAGTTCCATAAACTCATCTTCCCCACTCTTCCAAAAAACACCATTAGGCTTTGATATAGTTAAGATAAAGGAAAAGAGGGCACGACCTGGATCACTTCTCTGATACGCCGGTCACGAAATCTTCACACACCATCACGCAACACTTCACAGACTTGCGCTTCCCTTGCTATACCAATCTTCTCTGTGCCAATCTCACCCGTTAGATTCTCTGATACGCCAGTCACGAAATCTCCACACACCATCACACAACACTTCACATACCTGCGCTTCCTTTGCTATACCAATCTTATGTGTGCCAATCTCACCCGTTAGATCAATGATACAATCCTGTGGATGCCACAAATCAGTCCAGAACCTCACATTTTTCCCGTCTCCAATGTTCAACCATATGAAGTTTTTTGCTAAAGCTTTCAACCGTAGCAACTTCCTCCAAACCCAAGACCCGAATCATGTATTCTTTGCATCCCAGAAAGTCTCACTTCTTTGCATCCCAGATAGTGCCTCAACCAGTCTCCACATAAAAGAACTAGAGCAGGAAAACAACCGCCATATAAGTTTCAGCATGAAAACATTACTAACATCTTTCACATGCCTAATACCCAAACCTCCTTCTTCTTATCGGAAGCACACATCCTCCCATGCTACCTTTGAATTTGATGTATCATGAGGTGAACCACTCCATAAGAAAGAAGAGCACATTCTCTCAATCTCATCAATACAAGATTGCGGCAAACAGAACGGGGCACACCAGAAATCCGTCATACTCGAAATGACTGATTTTATGAGTAAAAGTCTACTTGCATATGAGAGAGATTTTCTTTTCTAAGAGCGGAAATGGTCCCTAAGTTTTGGTACTAACGGCTCATAGTCATTCCTTGACATAATCTTCGAAGTAAGAGGGAGACCAAGGTACTTTATGGATAGAGCCGAGATAGATTGCCCCACTGCTGTAG